TCTGTGAGCTGCGGCTTTGCTGACACGTAAGGGTGGAATGAGGCATATGCCAGCATCTGTCCTGCTTGGGTTTTGCTCCTTGACTTCCCTTGGGTCCTGGAGAAACACGTTCATGCATAGAATCCCTTCCAGTGGGTTGGAAGGGACCTTAAAGCTCACCCAGTTCCAACCCCTGCCACGGGCAGGGACACCTTCCACTAGAGCAGGTTGCTCCAAGTCCCTGTGTCCAACCTGGCCTTGAACACTGCCAGGGATGGGGCAGCCACAGCTTCCTCGAGCTGTCATGGCACAGGATGGATGGCGTGGCCCAAGAGACCACCAGCAAGATGAGCTTCTTACACTGCTCCCTTCTCCCAGCAGCAGCAGAAGAAAGGCACTGAGGTGATCACTGTCACTGTCAAGAGTTTCCTGGATGAGCTGATGTCGACTGAGAACAAGAAGAAAGGCTGCTTCAGCACCCTGCCCAGGGACCCGGCCTGCCCCACGGAGAGGATCTTCTGGTTCACGCTCAGCCAGTGCCCGAGGAAGGTAGTCAGTGGGAGCATGGGCACCAGCTCCATGGTGTCACAGCATCCCTGGTGCTGCGGCGGGTACCTGGGGGCAGGGATGCTGTAGGGCCTGGGGGGATGGATGGATGAGTGGATGGATGGATGGATGGATGAGTGGATGGATGGATGGATGGATGGATGAGTGGATGGATGGATGGATGGATGAGTGGATGGATGAGTGGATGGATGGATGGATGGATGAGTGGATGGATGGATGGATGGATGACTCTCCAACATTGTGCAGCTCTTTTTATGAGCAAACTGAAGTGTAACACGTTTTCTTCTGCACAGAATGTGATGGGACCTGGCTCCTACAACCCAAAGCCCATTGAGAAATCAGCATACTGCAGCCAAGCCCCATCCTGGTCAACTGCCAAGAGGTTCAACAGAAATTTCTACCAACTCTTTACTGGGAATGAGATGAGTGAGCGGGTGCAGCGGTGAGAGAGGGATGCAGGAACAGTCGGGCTCTGAGCTTCCCCTGTGACCATCCCCAGTCCATTACCAGCACCATGGGAGAGGATGAAACTCCCCTGAGCCAGAGTAAGGGGGGCTCTTCTCACCAGCTTCAGCCAGCTGAATGTTAGGTGTGTCCTCTGAAGGGAGCAGCACCCCAGCAGAAGTCCCACATCAGGTGCCTGTGACAGAAGGGAGGTGACCTCAGGAGGTGCTTTTCTCTCCCCACTGGTTATCATGAAACCTGGGTGACGTGTCCAGATGCCCATCCTTTAGGGAGGAGATGAATCCCTCTCTGGTGCTATTGTTCTTGCCTAGAACAGGTTGCTAAAGAATAAATGGTGAATAAAGGCATCCTAGCAGGGGAAGGGAAAGGTGCCCCCGTGCACACAGCATCATGCTGAGCATTGAGCATGTGCTGCCCATAGGCAGGTGAGATTGGTTGGTGCTGAGCAGAGGGACAGGAGCTCAGCAGTAGCCACATTATCTCTGCCTTCATCCCCAGGCCTTTGTCCTTTTCAAGGGATGCTCAGACAACCCTTCCCGTTAGTTTTGCTCTGCACCAGCTGCAAGCAAATGGATGCACTTCATGGGTGAGGGCAGCTGGGTTTGAGTCCTTTTAGGTGTCAGGAGCAAGTTGTATCCTCCCAGAAAGTTATATTCTGCTGCTTGAAAGCCAGTTTTTCCTCTAGCAGCATCAGCAGCACGTTACAGAGCCAGTGCAGGTAGGAGCCCTTCCCTTCATACCCATTCCTGGAGCTGTATTCATCTTGGCAGCTTCCCCACAGAGAACCAGAACAAAACCTAAAGGCCTCAAAGCAGACAGGGGAAAGCTTTAGTCTGAAATAGTCCACCTTGGCTAGGGATGAGAAGCAGGCTTCCACGTGGCTTCTCTCCTTTATCCAGCTGAGCAGGGAACAGACAACTTGAAAGAGGTCAAGGATGAAGACACAGAATCATAGAATGGTTAGGGTTGGGAAGGACCTTAAGATCACATCTTTGTGGTTATTAGGGAACTCACAGATTACATTCCAGTGGGGAGGTTGTGACAGGGCAGCTCTTCACTGCAGCTGGCAGTGAAGGTGACTGGTGAGCATGCAGAGCTTACACACTTCTTTATGGGCTGCTGTGATGAGAACTGCTTGCGAAGGGGGCTGGCCAGGCTAACACTGATCATAGCATCATAGAATCACAGAATGGTTTGGGTTGGAAAGGACCTAAAGATCATCTAGTTCCAACCCCTGTCATGCACCTTCTCCTCCCTCCCCTGCAATATAGACTCAGTTTGGTTAAGTTATGCCACATATTGTTCCATCAGTCACCGAGGAGCGATAGAACTGGTGCACGGGAAGGTTTCCCAAACCTGGGAATCCTCAGGGAGCTGGGAGAGCTGCCAGGAGCATCCGATGGGACCTGGGCAGGGCAGCAGCCATGGCACGCCTGCACCTATAAAAGAAGTCCCCAGGGCACACCAGTGGCCGGGAGCTCCACCACCAGGGCGGGCAGCCAGGGCGCAGTGCTGCGGTTGGCACCAGCTCGACCGGGAGCACTGGTGCCCATCCTGCAGAAAGCCACGTCCTCTCCGAGCTCTGCACCCACCACGGGTGGTGCTGCTGCCCCGGCAGAGCTCCGCTGGGAATGTGCTCCACTGTGGTGCCAGCGTGTGCCTGGCTCTTGTGCCAGGACTGAGGGCAGCAGCGAGCGCTCCTATGGGAAGAGCACCCAAGAGAGGAGCTCCTCTGCTTTGGGATAGAGCTCATGGGCTGGGGAGTAGCAGGGAGTGAAAGATAAAGACACACTACTGGGATCACACCCTGCCTTCCCTGGGTCAGGCCAACAGGAGGACAGGACACATGACATGGAGGGTTCCCTGTCCTCTCTCCATATGGATGAACACCGAGACTTAAGGGACAAGGGGGCAATGGTGACATGTCTCCTCTGTGACCACCTCACCTGCCCAGGTGCCCTCCCGTATGAGGCTCTGCAAGTGTAACTGAACGAGGACAATGGTTGTAGCCTGGAGGTGCAAAACTGCTTCCATAAGGAAAAAAAAGATGGGTCATTGTCATAGGAGACTCCGGAGACTCTCTTCCGAAGGGAACAGAAAGGCCAATGTGCAGACTGGACCCACTTAGGGAAGTCTGCTGCCTCCCTGGGGCCTGGGTTAAAGATGGGAGGAGAAGGCTTCCCAGCCTGATGTGGCTCTTAGGTTATTATCCAGTACTGATTTTTGAGATAGGAAGCTATGAAGTTGCAACAAGAAGTCCGAGGGCAATCCAGAGACTTCGGGGCCTTGGGATGACTGGTTAAGGGCTCAGAAAGTCAAGTAGTGTCCTCATCTATCTCTCCAGTGATGAATGGTGAAGGAAGAAGCAGGAAGAGCCAGAAGATCAATACCTGGCTCTGAGCTTGGTGTCACTGGCTGGATTTTGGGGGATTTTTGATCGTGGGTTGGTCTACACAACACCAGGCCTGATGGTGACAGGGTCCACCTGCCTGGAAGGGGGAGAAGGATCTTTGACACCAGTTAGCAGGGCTCATTGGAAAAGCTTTAAACTAGGTTTGAAGGGGAAAGGGATAAAACCAGGCTCCCTAGGGATAAGCTTGGAGGCAGCATGCCAGTGCTTAAGGGAAGATGTGCTAGCAAGGTCCTTTAGTCTGCTATCAGTGGAGGTCTGGGACAGAGATCCATGTGGCAGCAAAGCCTCAAGGGTTACTGGTGTGTTAGAAACCATGGAAGCAGCTGGGGATGGCCACGTAGGAATTAGGGTTTCTCTCCCTAAAAAGATGGTGGGATCAACAGCCCAGCTGAAGTGCATCTACACCAATGCAGGGGCAACAAACAGGAGGAGCTGGAGCCTTTTTGTCTAAAGGGTTGCCAAGCACTGGAACAGGCTGCACAGGGATGTGGTGGAGTCACATCCCTGGAGGGATTTGAAAGATGTGTAGATGAGGCCCAGCAGTTTAGTGGTGGGTTTGGCAGTGCTGGGGAACTGTTGGACTCGGTGATCTTAAAGGTCCAACCTAAATGATTCTGTGATCCTATGATTTTTTGCAGCTGGAGGCCTGGCCATGCGCAGGCGCTGCCTGGTTTTGCCCCACTCCCCTGCACTGCCTGTGGATGGGGAAGCTCATGAGATCTTTTCCTTCCAGAACCCTGTAGGTGTTGGTCGCTATGACATCTCCAAGCATGAAAAATACCCTCAGAAGATAAGATACCAGTCCCTGTACCAGTGTGATGCCCAGCGGTACCTGAGCAACATGAAGCGGGATGCCTACTTGCTGTAAGTCTGACAGACAAGGGGGCTGTAAGTGGTTTCACACTGGCTGACAGGTAAATCACCTTGAGCAGCACTGGGGAGACTCCCAGACACTACAACCGGTGTGAGATGGGAGGATCATGTAGTTAAATCATGGACTGGGAGCGGGAAGCACCCAGTAGCCCCACCACAGGGTCCATCTGTGGACACGGAGGTTGGTATTGCTGCACCTCTCCCCTGCCTTTGTGCTTCTTTGTTGTGTAAGGGTTTGGGGAAGGTTAAAGAGCTGGCTCTCAGGCACTTGAGAGATGCTGAGGTGGTGGTTGTATGTTGTGAAATGCAATTTGCCTGCAGCAGAGGTGTAGGCTAGGAGTTTTCATTGAGTTAGAGGAGGCAGCCCGGGAAGGTCGTGGGAGGTGGATGGATAATTAGGCTGCCTGGACTCATTCCCAGTGCAGGCACTGGACTGCTCAACAGCCCTGAACAGCTTTCGGTGGGGCAGCCCGAAACTAGCTGCCCAGTGGTGGAGGAGGCAGAATGGAATCTAGCTTTCCATATTGCCCAGCTGTGTTCATCTTGCTGTAGGAATAAAGGAATATATGAACAGTGAACAGGACTTGGAATTCAAATGCATCTCTGATCAAACAGCACCAGCTCCAGAATCACTCTTCAAGTTACATCAAGTTACAGCTGTGCTTTTGAGGGAGTAGCCAGGCTTTTGAGAGCTCTGTTCACCTCTGTGCTCATTAAGACTAATGAATCCCAGCCTGGTTTGGGTTGGAAGGGACCTTAAAGCTCATCCAGTCCCAACCCCCTGCCATGGGCAGGGACACCTTCCACTAGAGCAGGTTGCTCCAAGCCCCTGTGTCCAACCTGGCCTTGAACACTGCCAGGGATGGGGCAGCCACAGCTTCTCTGGGCACCCTGTGCCAGCGCCTCAGCACCCTCACAGGGAAGAGCTTATGCCTGAGAGGTCATCTCAGAGTCCCCTCTGGCAGGTTCAAGCCCTTCCCCTTGTCCTGTCCCTACATCCCTTGTCCAAAGCCCCTCTCCAAGTTTCCTGGGGCCCCTTTAGGCACTGGAGCTGCTCTAAGATGTCCCCTTCAGGAGCCTTCTCTTCTCCAGCTGCCCCAGCCCAGCTCTCTCAGCCTGGCTCCAGAGCAGAGCTGCTCCAGCCCTCGCAGCAGCTCCCTGGCCTCCTCTGGACTCAAGATTAATAAAGTTAATCCAGCCAGTACTTGAACCCACTGAATCACATCTTCTTTCCACAGGGAGCGGCTCAAGCCTGTTGCTAAAACCAACTGGTGTGATTTGATTTCTGCTCCACGTTGTCCAGATACCTCTGAAGAAATCACTTTTCCAAAAGTAAGATGGTGCTGGAAAGCCCAAATCAGTGAGTAAACAGCAGACATGGCAGCGGAGGAGACAGGGTAGATGAAAATGCTTATAGCATGTTGGCACACAAGTCAAGAGATGGGAAACGAGTCAAGAGATGGGAAACAACTCAAGCTTTGCCCTCTGCTAATAAAACAATCAACAGCCTTTTCTGTTGAGTAATTATTTCCACCTTGGGCTTTATAAAAGTGACAGGCTTCAGAAGAGGGCGACAGACACTGCCTGTCCTCTGAAGGGTGGTCTGATGGGGAAAATGAAAGGAACAGAGCTGTGTCAGTGGCCATTCAAGTGTACTGGGAGTACACTGGTTCGCTTAGGGTTAGGCTTTATGAAGTCTCACACTAGTGTTTAGACCAGAGTGGAATAATTAAATTTAAGTGTAATTACATATTAGTTGTGGCTGATTAAATATGCTAATTAACCTGCAATTATAATTTGGTGGGGGAAGATAACTGAGCCCAGGTAGAACTGCAGTGGATTAAGGAAATCCTGATGCTTGTGCTGGAGAGGCAGAGGAAGGAGGTCCCCGATAGGCACTGTCTGAGCAGGGATGTGGGTGAGTGCTGGCTCCAGATACTGCTGGGGCAGCAGAAGAGGATTGTGACACACAGGAGGTCAGGGCCAGCACGGAATGTGATTAAAGGAAAGTGCATTCAGCGGGCCTGAGGCATTTGGCAGCCTGGACTTCAGAAAGAAGCCTGGAGTTTCCCTCTGGGAAGGAAGCGCTAGAAGAGGGTGCAGAGCTGTGAGCACGGGAAGGGCAGGAACACCTCTGACAGCCCACACAGCTGCTGTGAGGGCATTTTCCAAGGCAAGAGATGAGGATGTGAAACTCCTCAGGCTGAAGAGGGCCCTGAATCTTCATCCTCCCTTCTGTGGCTGCTCATCCAAACAAAGGATTAGATTTACTAGCATGAAGTGAGAAGAATGAAGTAGCTGTCAACAGCTGTAGCACCTAAATCCAAGGGGTTTTGTCCTGATTGGACAAAACTTCACAGGGAAAGAATGAGGCAAAAGGAGAGGAGAGCAGGATAACCGGAATCATAAGGCTACATGGTGTTAGTGGGGCATCACTGAAGGGTTAAGGTTCAGCTGTATGGTGTTTGTTCTGTACAGTGTGTCTTCGGGCAGAGATAAGTGTTGACTCACAGACTTCAAAGACATTCCTTCACGGCTGCCTGCAGCACAAGGGTCCTCCCCTCCCAAGCACACAGCAAGGCCTCCTCACCAGCAGCATTCCTCAGTGATGGCTGACCATTTGAAACAGGGCAGTAAGCAGGAGAAATGACCTTGGCAGCTGTTGAAAAGTAAGTACTGATGAAAGGACACCCCTTTGAGCAGTTTGCTGGCTAGATCTTTATTTTAAACAGCCCATACAACCAAAACTTAAGAGCAATTATGCATGTGCATGTGTGGGACTGATACGGTTACAGTACCCAGTCACATCATACAAAGTTTGCCAATAAATTAGGGAGTGAAAACCCAAATACAGTGCATACCTAAAGATCATCAGCACGTAGGTGAGAGAAACACAGCCTAAAGAAAAGTATTTGCATATCCTCTAGCTGTTTTAACGTGGCCCTTTAAAAGCTAACCAAACCCACTCTTGCTCTGTGCAGGTTATCTTACAAGCACTGGGCTCCATTGTATCTTTGCCCCAGGGACAAGGGGCAGGAAGGCCGGTTACACCCTGAGAATCAGCCTTTGCCTTCCCCTGCACCCCGGGATGGTGTAGCAGACACTCCTGGATCACTGACACAGCTCCTGCCCTGCTCTGCATGGGCTGTGTCTCCCCATGGGAGGCTGCCCCTGCTACCAGTCCCCTGTGTGGGATTTTGATCATAAGGGGTACCTGATCTGCACACAAGCTGCCCAGCATGCAGCGCTGAGTAAAAGGCCAACCTGATTCTTGTTACTGCTTTATCATTGGTTTCATCTGGACAGTAAACATCCATCTATCAATAAATAAAATCATTGGTTTAGCACACACAGAAAAATTAAGCCTCCCACTGGTAACTGTTCAAGAAGTTCCTCATGTTACCCTCTACACAAGAAAACGACTTTCTTCTCCCCCAAGCTCAGGAAGGTTTCAAGTAATAATTTTAAGTACTGCTTGGGCAAGACATGGGCTTGGTTTGGAACCCAAAAGCAGCAGAAGGGGGGGACTGAGCAGTACTTGCTGCTGACTTCCTCTCCAGGTGACTGAAACAGTCCTTTTACAAAGCCTATCAACCTAATCCAGCTAAAATAAAAAGCAAAAATGGGGCTCGAGTCAGAACCAAAGCTTGTGTGTGTCAAGATTCTTATCCACAGCCACTTGTTCTAACAAACCTTGTGTAAAGAAAGCCTGGACTTCCTTTTCCTACTGGCCAGGCCAGAATGGTCTGAAATAACCCATATCTTCCTCCAACCAAGTATTTATAAGGCACTAAAATAAAGCAATGACCAAACCCCCCCCCCCCAAAACCCCAAAACAAACCCAAAAACTCCACATAAAGTGACCCACAATGAATAAAACCTGAAATTAAAACTTGGCTATATGAAATAGCAGCAATTTCTTCAGCAGTCTGCAAAGCCAGAACACAGATACTTGTGGGGCCAAGCCCCAATGCACCGTTAGCCAACTACAAAGTACCTAAACCCTACATCCACTTAGGCTTTACAATCAAAACTGATCTGATAGGCACAAGTAAAAAGCATTTTCTTCACACCTCAACGCTCCGTTTTGAAACTGAAGCCCCTGCCAGAGAGTCTTCACTGCTCTGCTGACACGACAGCACAGTACAACCCACGTGGCACAGCACCACACAGCAGCTGGAAGGTTATGGTACCACTGCTGAGCTGTTCTACCAGTTACCAACCGGGGGCAAACGGTTTTAAACATCATGATCAACGTGACAACGTGTTCAGCTTTGGCACCTCTTTCTGCACCCTCCCTGCTGTTTTCAGAAGTCATGTTAAATAGAGCTACAGCACACAGCTGGTGTGACTCCAGTGTCTTCATCCTTTCCAACTCTTATGCTTGGAAATAGGTGAATCCACCCACGTCACATTAGATACAAAGGCTAGCACTTGGAAGAGCTCTTCAAAACAATCACTTTGAGTTTCAAAAAAATCCATTGGAAAACATACAAAGAAATACTAAACATAAATTCAGAAAGCAGGAATTCATACCTTTAAACATCAACAAGAATGAGCTTATTTGGAGAGCAATAAAGCTTTTTTTGTTTTGAAAGGATATACTGACTAGCTGTAGGTAAATTCATCTTTCCCTGATTGCTTGGTTAGACCATCCAGGCTCAGTGCCTTGCAGCCTTGCAGATTTTGTCATACACTTCTGGAAAGGCATCCTTGCAATTCATCTGCTCCCGCAGCTTGTGGTATAAGGAACCATCAAACATATCCCAGAACTCCTCACGGGTCATGTAGCAATCTGCATACAGCATCTGGAAACTGGAGAGGAGGGAAAAATAAACCAGGGACAATATTAATTGTGCCATAAGATATATAAAGGATAAAGAAAACAGTCAGGGCAAGCTACAAAGAGCAAATATTCAACCAAACAACCCATTAAAAATGCTTTTGAAAGGCAAGCAAATATAATTGCTCACATGGATTACACTGTGACACTCAGACAATTGTATTTTGTGGATTTAACATTACCAGATCAATTTTCCAAGAGGAAATAACATATATAACAGAATGCTGCTACAGTCATTTTGGTGAAGGGGAAGATGGGAAATGAAAGCAGTTAATATAACTGTTGCTTTTAAAATATGGTTCAGAACCCTTCTTTAGCCACCAGTGTAATGGTGCTTTCATTACTTTTGTTACTACAAAAAGGAGAACTAAGAAATGTGTATAAAGCAGTGGTTCATGTTTAGAGATCCTGACCATGTGCAGCCATATCTTCTGACAACTTGTATGCTAACAGCTCGAGTTCACAGAAACACAAGTCTGGAGAGAACCAGAAGTTCCCTCAAATCAAGAGTCTGGCCCCTTGCACTGAAACCCACACACAACCTAAATTATCCCTGGCAAATATTTTTCTAACTGCTTTTGAAAGCCTGCTTGCCTTTTTCCTCCATTCAAACCCTTTTAATTCCAGCTTCAGAAAAAGGAATTGCTTTTTCTGCATGCTTTCTTATGATCCATGGAGGTGCAATCATAGAATCACAGAATCATAGAATGGTTTGGGTTGGAAAGGACCTTAAGATCATCCAGTTCCAACCCCCTGCCATGGGCAGGGACACCTCACACTAGGCCATGTCACCCAAGGCTCTGTCCAACCTGGCCTTGAACACTGCCAGGGATGGAGCATTCACCACTTCTCTGGGCAGCCTGTTCCAGTGCCTCAGCACCCTCACAGTAAAGAACTTCTTTATATCTAACCTGAGCTTCCCCTGTTTCAGTTTGAACCCATTTCCCCCTGTCCTATCACTACATGGCATCTCATGTTAGCCTGTGTTACAAAATGCATTCAAGGCAGATGTAGCAATGAATTCTTTGACTGTTTAGCTTCTCTGAACTGCACATTGAGAATATACCAGGCTGAGGAGATATAGTGTAAATGAAGCATGGTGTAACAAAGGTCCATTTACAAAACTAAACGAAATCCTTATTTAGCTGTGGCCAACTCCCCACTTTCATCCTGTGCTCTCTAAAATGCAGCAGTAAAACACAAACTGTTACATGAAAGCTCTCTTGTTGTGTGTGATTACGAAACTGTGAGATTAAGCATTTATCCCAGGGACAGATAAAGAAGAGACAAAACTTTGTTAGTAGAGAGCTTTAAATTAAAAGCTTGATTTCCAGTTAATTAAAAAAAAAAAGAAGAAGCTTAAAATCAGCTCTTGGTTGCTTTGTTCTCTGGCAGATCACTTACTGCAGCTAAAAGTCATTTACACCCTCCAAATCATCTCGAAGCAGACTCACCACTGGTACTGAGCCACATGGGATACAATCACTGTTAGACTGAGAAGTAGGTCAAAATAGAAATGGGGATAAATCATACTGATGGTGTAAAAATACCATGTAGTTGTTTTTTGTTCCTGAGAAACAAGCCTGGAACTGCTTCTCCACTGACACTACTACAGCAAACGAGGCTGGCATGAGTCTGTGACAGATGGTGGGCATGTATCTCACGCCTACTGTGGCCCTGTGTAGTAGGAATCAGGGCAAGGGAAAGGAAGCTATGAAGTACAAGTTGTGAGGGAGGAAAGGCTCCCATCGCTGCACAGGGACGAGTCAAGGCTGGCCTCCCTCTGCAAGGACATGCCAGCACAAGGACGGGGCAGAGCTGCAGCATGACGCTGCAGGGAGCACAACAGTCCCAAGGGCAGTCAGGCAGGGAAGCTGTGCAAACCTTGATGAAGGGACTGAAGCCAAAACAGCCCTTGCTCTGCCCCTGCTCTGAACCAGCTGAAAGACATCAGCCTCCACACACGCAGCTCAGTGGCTGCCTTCCTGAGGACAGGGCTAAGAGCTGTGCTAAGAGCTGTTTTTGGGCAGCAACTGCTTTATGTACAGTCAGCACAGACCTGCCGAGGCCTTGATGCACCTGGGTGGATGCAAGGATGAGTTTTGTTGCAGCAGAGAGTCCATTCCCAGAGCAGCCGGGAGCTGAAAGGCGACCTGAAGCCACCCAGCTCCCAGATACACCGCAAGAACTTCAGCCAGTGCACTCATTTGTTTGGTTTTGCAATAAAGTCATAAAAGCGAATCATATTTCCAAATCATAACATAAAAATTAGTAATTAAAATCAGTTCTCTGGTAGTTAAATTATTGCAACATTTATGTGCTGTGGGAGTAAATAACTGTGGTTAAACCACAAGGGTGTACATTCTGTGGCATTATTACCATTCTAAGGAGTGGGATCCTTACCCATGCACACTCCTTACAAACTTTTCCATTTGCCTCATTGAAGCCCTGGCTTCAAATTGTTTCCTCTTGGGCTCTCCATAAGCTCCTATATCCACGTAGAGTTCTGTTTCGTCGCCTTTTGGGTGGACCATACCAGGATTATTGGGCAGTATGAAAGGACATAGCCACAGAGGGTACACCTGCCGAGGCAAGAAAACACTTCATCACTTATCTCTAACAAAATAACTCTTAAGAAAGGTGACAAATGAAGAGT